AACTCAGCTGTCTCGACACGCACGTGTTGATACGCGACACGTGCCGTGCTCAAGACGTGCGTGTCAGCACGTTGCGCGTGGGCTCCACGTATGGGACAACATTGTGGCGAATGTGTTGCGTCGGGCCCACGTTTGCAGCCTACGTGTTGAGCTCTGTATCAATACGCTACGTGGTGCGCGTTGCGTATCGGGGCAGTGAAGGGCCGGAGGATCGGCTTTCGCAGCAGGCGGCGAGGCGATGCAAAGCCAGCGACTCCACTGGTCGGTGAGCCAACTTGCAGTAGGGTCCTCAGGGTACGCGATAAGATTGCAGCAGGGGCCCGACCACAGAAGTTCTGCCACAGGAAACCCCGCCATGAGACCCCAAGACATTAAACTGATGTTTGTTGTGGGAGCGCCACGCGCGCTTTCCATCGCACAAAGCCCTCGAACCCCCAGAAACCCGGGGCACCCTGGAGGCAAGCGGGCTTTTTCTTGGCACGGGTCTCCACTGTGGGGCAAAGGGTGCGCGGAGGAGGAGGAGGAGGAGGAGGAGGAGGAAAAGGAAGAGGAAGAGGAAGAGGAGGAGGCGGAGGAGGAGGAGGAGGAGGAGGAAAAGGAAGAGGAAGAGGAGGAGGAGGAGGCGGAGGCGAGAGAAGTTATCATGCACCATCGCCTCGACAGAAGGGCGACCTGCAGAGGGGGCCCCCCTCGGCAGGGCCGGGGAGGGCGCGCAGGCGCGGCGGGGCGGCCGAGGGGGCGCTTTTGGGCTGCTGTTTTTGTTTGGTGTTGCGCAGCGCTGCGCGCAGAGAGCGGTGCGCAGAGAGGGGGCAGAGGAGGTGAGGGAGGTCGGGCCCAGGAGGCAACGGCGCCGGGGGCCCAACGTTCGGTCGGGCATGTCCTCCCACAGGCGCATCTGGGGCGAAGGATGAAAACAAAGATGCCACACTTTTTCAAACTGAGCCATTTTTGTTATCACAAGTGAACCTAAACAACGTCCCCTGGCAATGTTCGAACTATTTCTGCATTCTCCTCCTGCAAATAGGGTCGTTCCCGACCGAAGCCCAAAGGCCCGCGAGAGAGCCTGACGGCCCGCGACGGGGCGAGAGAGAGAGGTCCGCGAGGGCTCTCAAACTGGCACCGACGTGCGCGCAGGCCAGCGTCGTGGCGGACCTGTTGGCGGAGCCTGGCGGCAATCGCCTTCCTGGAGAAGGTCGGCGGCCTACACCCTGCGAAATGCTTAAGAAATCATGGGTTGAGAAATTAATAGTCTCAGAATTTAACTAAAACCCAGAAATTATATCAAAATCTTGGGAAGTAAATTGAAACATTAAGAATAATCGAGACTCTGGCCGAAAACTTAGGTTTTCTTAAGCATCGCCTTCGGTGTACGCTCCTGGGCACCCTTCTCCTCCTGGTGCGCTTACGAGGAGGGTTATGAAAAGGGGCCCTGGGACGCGCAAATCAACAGACGCAGAAAATCCGGAATTCCCCCCATTTACCCGTTTGTTTGTTTTTTTGCTTCTCGTCTTCCCATACCCCCCGCTTCCCACATTTTCCCAATATCTTCCTGGGAGTCGACGATGCATTGTGTCTCTGTGGGTGTCTTCTGTCCTCCCCTGGGGCTTGAGAAGGTGGAGGCTGGCGCCTCTCACGTGCGAGGCCCCCCGCCCGGGGGGGCACCGATCTGCGGGCACCTCGGGAGGTGGTGGACGCACGGATCTGCTTGCCCCCCCCCACCCCCAGCCGCCGCCCCCCTCCCCCTCCTCCCCGCCCATCTGCCGATGCCCAGCCACGAATGCATCCGCAGCAGGTTCGTGTGTTTGTCTCGCTCCGCGTCCCGTGTATGGTCCGGGCTTCGTGCTCGTGCGGGGCCGTGCCCTGCCTTCCCCCAGGGCCCGAATAGGTCGAGATCCGGCGCTGGCCGAGATCCCCGAAGATCGATCCTCAGGCGGTCCTTCTGGCTAGGTCCCCGCCTCGGACCAGTGTCCACGACATGCGCGCGGACGAGGGGGTGGGGCAGGGAACGCAGTCAAAGGATGCCAGGAGGATCAGGAGGAGGAGGAGGGTGAGGAGGGCAGGGAACGAATTCTGAGGCCCCTGATCTATCAACCGCTTCCCAGGGACCAGCTTCTCATCCCGAATCGTTCGTCCTGAACCGTTTTTTTTTGGAGATGTCTTACGTCTCGACTCTGACGATGACGAAACACTGCCATTCCAAGTCGTTTAGACGAAACTGACAGACGCCAGGACGGCTGGTTTGGACGCCCGCGAGAGAAACATCGAGGTTCAACGATCCTGGTCAGTCACCCGAGGCGGCGCGCCCAAGGGGAGAGTGAGAGAGAGCGCGCCTTCTCGGAAGGCTCGGAAGTTCCCCGGCCTCTGGAGAAGTTCTCGGAGCCCCCCCCGAAGACAGGAAGAAACAATCCTCTCAGGAAGCGCAACGGCTTCTGAGGAGCCCCGCCGCCTTCTGAGGAGGCCTTCTCCCTCTCCCCGATCGCTCGCCGCCGTGACCTGGACCCCCGGCCTTCTGACACGTTCCCTGAACCTTCCCCGACGACAGAAAAACAGAAACCTCTCACAAGGCGCGCGAGGGGCTTCAGAGATGTCCTCGCCGCCTTCTGGGCAAGCCTTCGCCCTCTCGATTCCCCCCTCGGTCGCCGCCGTGACCTGGACCCCCCCGGCCTGCTGAGACGTTCTCAGAGCCCTCCCCGACGACAGGGAAACAGAAACCTCTTTCAGAAGGCACGCGAGGGGCTTCTGAGACGTCCTCGCCGCCTTCGGAGCAGGCCTTCTCCCTCTCGACGTTCCTCTCCTCCTCCTTCTCCTCCTCCTCCTCCTTCTCCTCCCCCTCACCTGTCCCCATATATATATACATGCTCCTCCTCCTCCTCATCCTCCTCCTACTACCTCTCCTCATCCTCCTCCTCATCCTCCTCCCGCATCCCCGCCTCTTCCCCCCCCCCCACCTCCCCTCCCCCCCCCCCCCCGCGAATGCCGTTGCGCCGCCGAGGTTGCTTCGTCGAACATGGCCCACGCACACCGCCCCCCGCGCCCCGCGCTCCGCGCACCACGGCGCCCGAGGAAGCTCTTAGCCGAGCATGGGTGGGCCGATTCCTAGCCGCACTGGCGCGGCCCTGGCCTCACTGGCCAACGTGGCCACCTTGGCGGAGACATCTGATCCGGGGCCGAGGGCTCGAAGCCTCCCAACCGATGGGATTGGTCCCAGGGCTCCACAGGCCCCCACCCCCCAGAATGGGATAGGGGACGACGACGACGAAGACGACGACGGTGACGACGACGACGACGACGACGACGACGACGACGACGACGACGACGACGACGACGACGACGACGGTGACGACGACGAAGATGACGACGACGAAGATGACGACGATGACGACGAAGACGACGACGACGACAACGACGACGACGAAGGCGAAGGCGAAGGCGAAAACGACGACGACGATGACGACGAACCACCCCACACCGGGTGGGGGGCACTGGCACCCTGTGGGTGGGCACGACCGCAGGGGGGGGGGGGCGCGATCCCATTCGCGAGGCCTTCACGAGGCTCGCGGGCGCACCCGTCCAGCGGGGGGGGCACGGCTATCCTATTAGCAGTGGGGGGGGAGGGGGGCCGGAGCCCTGGATCCTAGACGCCTGTTCCTTCGAGATTCGCGGGGCCGATCCCCTGGTAGGAGGGCGGGCTGGTGCGAGGCTGAGATATTACTCTGGCCCAGTGGGGGTAGGGATACTCCGGATCTCATAACAATGGGGGGGGGTCTGCTTCTGGGGGGGGGGTCTCACGGGCTTCGTCAAACACATTTGTGGGGGGGTCTCGATTTTGGACTTTGTTGCCTGTCTTGGGGGGGGGTCCCAGACCGGCCGTCCAACACTTTTTTGACCCCCCCCCACTATTATGAGATTTGGAGTCGGCTATGCGATGCCGCTGCGCAGCTCAGCGCTCCAGGCCCACGTACACCGCCCTCGCGAACTCGTCCTCCAGCAGCCGCAGCCCCGGTGCCGCCGCCGCCCACCGCAGCCGCGCGCCGCCAGAGCGCACCCCCGCGGCCTGCAGCTGGGCCTGCCCGCCGGCAGGCGGCGGCGGCAGCCACGACGGCGAACGGCAACGGCGGCGACGACGGCGGACGACAACGACGGAAATTGCGGCCACGCCGACGGCGATTGAAGGGGCCCCAGGACACACAAATAAATACACACAAATAAAAAGATTCCCCATATTTCCAATATTTTCTGGGTTTCTGTCTTCCCCCCCACTTCCCGTATTTTCCAATATTTTCTACGGAATCGAGGAATAATTGTGTCTGTTTTTTTTTTTTTCCTCCTGAGCGATGACGACTCGACGGCCTGGAAGACAGCGGCACGGCGGACGTCGGCGAACGTCCGCGAGCGGCGGCGGCGGCGGCGGCGGCGGGACGAGGCGGCGGCGGACCATGATGGCAGCGACGGCGTGCGGAGACGGCGCACGACGGCCACGACGGCGGACGACCGTGACGGCGGCTGCGGCGGCGGCCGCGGCGGCGGCGAGCGACGCCGGCGAACGACCTCGGCGGCCGCGGCAACGACGGCGGCAACGACAGCGGCGGCAGAGGGGCGAGCGGCGACGAGCGGCGGCGCGCCTCGAGGGCGGGCAGGGGCAGCAGCGCGGGCTGCCCCTGGGCAGCGAGCTGCGCCAGCGCGCGCCTCGCGTCCTCCGCGACCGCCTCCGCGCTGCCACCGACGGCCTCCGGCTCTCAGGGCACGCGCCCGGCTCTGACCCCGCTCGCGGCGTTGAAAGCATCGCAGCGGGCGGTGCGTCGCCGTGTTTGTGATTTTGTTGACACTCGATGCTTCGAATCCTTACGAAACAGAGTAACTTTTGGAGGGATGTCGGCATGCGCGCGCGACGGCGCGCGCGCGCGCGTGGCGCCTCTGGGGGGCCCTCGCCAGGCCCCGGGGCCGCCGACAGACAACCCGGGATGCGGAGCTGGTCTCTGGGGAAGGGGTCGAGGCCTCCAGGGGTTTACGCTGCGAATCAAGCCAGATGCCGCCGGTGGGCGCGCCCGCCGCTGCCTCGGCATCCGGGGGCGCTGTGCCGTGGGCTGGCGGCGCCAGGGTGTCCAAGCGAGCGGCATCCACCGGCACGAGCGGCTGGGGCATGAAGGTGAACAGGCTGTAGACGGAGTTGCGGCGTATGCGGCCCATGATGCCCAGGAAGGCCTTGTAGCCCTCCATCTTGAACTCGGTCAGGGGGTTCTGCTGCCCGTAGGCCCTCAGCTTCGCGGCGTCCCTCAAGAACTCCATGTTCTGCAGCTGTCGCCTCCAGAACTTATCGATCTGCATCAACAAGATCTGCCGCCACACGGGGTGGCGCAGACCCGGCCCGTGCTCGTCGATGAGCGCGAACTTCTTCTGGATGGCCTGTCGGCTCTCCGCGAGCATCCACTCCCGCAGGGCAACCGCGGCCGCCTCCCGTGGGCGACAAACACATCCGTGTCCGGTCCGCGACCCCGCGGGTGCGGGTCGTTTTCTCGCGGATGCCCCGCGCGGAACGTACCCGTGCGACGGCGTATCCGCGGGATCGTGCCACGGCATCCAGACCGCGAGGACGCGGACATGGACAATTACGGTCGCCGCTCGTGAGCCTCGCCGCCACCAGACGCCCGCGCCGCGAGCTCCTCTGGGGCCACCGCGAAGCAGCCCGTGAACCAGGCGGACAGCTTCCGGGACAGCTGCTCGAAGGGCCACTGGGCGACGGGAGCCGCAGGGTCGACCAGGCCCGACAACTCCTCCATGTTCTCGGCGTTGAACCTGAGGAGCACGCCCTGCAGCTCCTCGTCGCTCCCGAGCAGCGCCTTGCGACGCAGGTCGTACAGCACCTTGCGCTGCTGGTCCATCACGCAGTCGTAGTCGAACACCTCCTTCCGGATGCCAGAGTAGTAGCCCTCCACCCGCTGCTGCGCCTCGTCCAGGGCACCGCTGAGAAGCGGCGAGCTGATGGCCACGTCGGCGGGGCCGCCCGCGCCTGCCAGGGCACCGATGGCGTCGCCACCGAAGACGCGGAAGACGCTGTCCGTCAGGCTCAGGAAGAACCTCGGCGGAGGCAAGGAGGGGAGGATCGCCGGCCGAGGGGCGCGGACTGCACGCGCTCCCAGGGGTGCCTCGCCGAAGACCTCGGCGACCGGAGCTCCTGGCTGCGTGCAGTGCTCGCCGCCCGGGGGCCGTCCTCTCCACCCCTGTGCTGCGGCCGCCGAGAGAGCCTGGCTTCGCCCGGGTCCCCCTGCCGCCCGGCGCGCCCCCGCAGCTGGTTGTCGATGCGCCTGGACTCGTGGCGCTCGGTCCCCACCACGTACAGCCCGCCCAGCGCCGCCAGCGCCTCGCGCTCGGAGGCCACCGCGGCCTCCATCTCCTGGGCCACCAGCTCGTAGGCCTTGGGAGCCGCTGGCTGGGGGGGGGGGCGATCAACAAAAAATCGGGGAGCGAAGAAGCGACGTGCCCCGTTCGGACCCCAGAGGGCTCCTTGGGGGCCCCATACGGTGCACGAGAGGTGCACCTCCTTTCTTCACCTCCCCCGTTCCTCTCGCCCCTCCTCGACGCGAGGCCCGCAGGCCTGCCGCAGCTGCTCCTCGGCGCCCGCCGGCGCCTCCGCCTGGCACGCGGCCGCCAGCAGCCCGCCCGCCCGCAGCTCGGCGTCCTCGCCGCCCGCGCCCTCCGCCGCGAAGCGCGCCGCCGCGCCCGCCGCGGCCTCCCGCAGCGCCGCCTCCGCGCCCGCGGAGAGCGCGGCGGGGTAGAAGTCCCCCGGCACCGCCCAGCGCTCGGCGCCTTCGGGCAGCAGCAGCGGGAAGAGCGCCTCGCGAGGCACTGCTTCGCCGATCCCTGGCCCCCACTGGCAGGGCCCTGGCGTCACCGGCCGACTTGCCCCCCCCCTCCCCCCCGGGTGGGGACTTAGTGGGCCCTGGAAACGACAGGGCCGTTGTTTTACCGGTTCCGTTTTGCCGTTTTTTTGCCAGTTCCGACGCCGTTTTTTTACCGGTTCCGTCGCCGTTTTTTGATCGGTTCTGGCTCCGGTTCCAATCCTGGAGCCGCTTTTTTGCTGTTTCCGGTCGCCGTTTTTTTTTTGCCGTTTCCATTTTCAAGGGACATTTTTTTGGAAACGGTGAAAAAACGGCCCTGCCGTTTCCAGGGCCCACAAAGGGTGGGGATGCATGGCTGTTCCCCCCTTTCGGGTTTCGCGGGGCATGTCCCCACCCAGGCGGAGGAGCAGGCGGGGCAGAGATACCCATGGGTATGTGGGTATGGTTAGGTCGGGCATATCCCCCTACAAGCGAATCAAATCTAGTCAGAAAGTACACAAACAAAAACTCACAAATCGTCCACAAACTCTTTGTCTTACTATCTTTGAATACTCCTCCTGTCGAGGGAAACGCCCGACTCATGGGTGTGGTGATCGGTGAGACGATGCTGCGCCTCGCGCACCCGCAGCAACGCCAGGTAGTCCGCGCTGCCCCCAAGCACGATGTCCGTGCCGCGGCCGGCCATGTTGGTGGCGATTGTCACGGCCCCGCGGCGGCCGCCGCGGGCGACGATCTCCGCCTCGTTGGCGGCATTCTCGGGGCGAGCGTTGAGCACCCGGTGGGGCACGTCGAGGCGGTCGAGCAGCCCGGAGAGCCGCTCCGAGCTCTCGACGCTGGTGGTGCCGACGAGCACAGGGCGGCCGCTGAGGTGAGCGGCCTGCACATCGCGCGCCACCGCCGACCACTTGGCATCATCGCTCATGTACACCTGGTCGTCGCCCTCCTTCCGCTGGCACGGACGGTTGGTCGGCACGACCGAGACCTTCAGATCGTAGATCTGCTCGAACTCCTGTGCCTCCGTGGCGGCGGTTCCTGTCATGCCCGCCAGCTTCTCGAAGAGCCGGAAAAAGCTCTGGTAGGACACCGTCGCCAAAGTCATCGATTCGGGCTCGATCTGGACCCCCTCCTTGGCCTCGATCGCTTGATGCAGCCCGTTCCTCCAGCGGCGCCCAGACATGGGCCGACCGGTAGACCCGTCGACGATCACGACCTTGCCGTCGCGCAGGATGTACTCCTGATGCGCAACTTTAGGGTCGGGTTAGGTCGGGCATGTCCCCCTACAGGCGGATTTGTGACTAAAAATAACTGATACCCCCCAACAATGCCCCCAAATGGTCAAGAATAGTCAAAACATCGTCCCCAGACTATCTTTTACTACTTTTGAGTGCTCCTCCTGTATAGGGACAGGCCCAACTTAACTTTCGTAATTCGGGGGGGACCACCTCAGGGGGGCAAACAACGAACTGAAATCGGCGATGCATCGCCGATGGATCGGCGAGAGGCCCCCGATAGCCAATCCGAGAGCTCCTGGGCGGGGCGGGCTAGTGGGCCTCTCTCGGCGACGCATGGGCGATTGGGGCCACGCTGCTCCCATCGTGCTTACAAGGACCACATCCCAGGAATAGGTTCGAGCACATGGAACAAGTGTCGAAAGGGTGTCGCAACAGTGCCGAAGCAGTGTCGGACGAGTGCCTCCCAGGGCCCGACGCGTGAAAACATTCGAGCTTCGGTACTTCTCTGGTGCTCGAGATTCGCTCTGGTGGTCCATGCTAAAGCAGGTTGGAGCATCATAAGATTGCGGATCGATGCGTACCCCCCTGAGCCGACCCCCCCCCCGAAGTTGCCCCTGAACTCCTTGTCCCGCGCGTAAAACTCCCTCGCGCTGAGGGCGTTCACCACGAACGGAGCCCACGGATCCTGCGGGTCGAACAGGTCGTCCTTGCGCAGCATCCTCTGAGACTCCACGACGCCAGCCTCCGTGAGGGTGCACAGCTTCTGCTTCTCCTCGGGGTGGAACTAGAGCGGCAAATGCAGTAATTGTTGGAGGTTCGCGCTGATTTCTTGCATCGGCGCTGAACCTCCCCCCCGAGCACGCGGAGCGCGCCAAGGCAGCCCAGCGCCGATCCAGCTGATCCGCGCGGACCTCCCAGAAGAGCCCATGTCTGCGCCGTGCTCTGCCCCTCCCATCCTCGAGGGTGTAGTGCACGTCCCTCCGGAGCGCCCCTGCCAGCTGCAGCGCCACGGCGTACTTCTCGGAGGGCCTGTCCGCGGTCGCCGAGATCACCACCGGGGAGCGCGCCTCGTCGATGAGCACCGAGTCCACCTCGTCCACGATGGCGAAGTGGAACGGCCTGCCCTGCCTCAGGCGCAGGTCCCCGGGGGACAGCGCCATCTGGTCGCGGAGGTAGTCGAACGCCAGCTCCTGGGGAGGCCGAGGAGCGGAAGATGCTGACGCCAGTGCAGCCTCTCCCGGGGCCTCTCCCGGGGCGCCTTGAGACCAGAATCTCGAGGCGAATCCAGGAAGGCCTCACATAGAGGCCTCTCAACTTTGGCGGCGCGCCCGGGGGGAAAGGAGAAGGGGCGGGCCTTCTCAGAAGGCTCGGAAGTCCCCTGGCCTGCTGAGAGGTTTTCTAAGCCCCCCCCCCAAAGACAGAACAACTTCTCAGAAGGCGCGAGGGCTTCTGAGAAGTCCCGCCGACTTCTGAGAAAGCCTTTTTCTTCTCAGTTCCCCCCCTCACCCGCCGCCGACAACTGGGATCCGAGCAGATGGGGTCGGAGGATCGCGCCATATCACCGATGCACCGCCGATGCAATGCGATGCATCAGCGACGTCGGCGTGGAGAAGACCGGGCTCCACATCGCGCCGTACCCCCAGTGCATCGGCGACGGAGGCGCGATCCTCCGATCCCATCTCCACGGACCCCGTCTGGGAGGCCTAGATCCCTGGAAGCCCACTCAAAAGATGCAAACGAGGCAATGTCAGCTTCTGTGGCACCACGTGGGGACCTCCCATGTCACATCGCTGGTCCTTTCGAATCGACGCGAACCAACGCTAGATCGACGCTCATCGATGCTAAGTCGATGCGCATCGACGCTGAATCGGCGCTAATGGACACTAGATCGACGCTCTCTCATCGATTACCAGACGCTAGCGCATGACAAGGCACTCTGAAGACAGAAGTTTGCTACCGAAAGCATCGGAGCATATTTTCCTCGTCCGATCTCCACGTTCGTCACGTACGTTACGTCGCAGCCGTAGGCCTGCTGTCGCTGCCCAGCGTCCATATGCTCCTGCACGAACCCTACAGACGCCCCCAGGAAGCGGAGAGCCTGACCAACGGACTCGGCGTCTCGGCGCGCAAGGTAGTCGTTGGTGGTCACGACGTGCACTCCGTCGCCGCCGAGGGAGTGCAGGAACGCCGGCAGAATGGCCGCGAGGGTCTTGCCCTCGCCTCAAGGGAAGAGATAGTTCGCAACCAGGCCTTGAGCAAGAAGTGGCGTGCCCCAAGGCTCATGCAGTTCTGAGGGGTGGATGGCAGGGCTGTGCAGTTATCGGGCCCGAGACACCGCAATTCCGAACATTTCTTGGCGCTGCTGGGCAGTCCTCGGCGCTGCTGGGGTAACCCCGCATGGGCCTCGGGACGGCCCCCTCCCCTCGCCCACGAGGGCCCCAAAAGAGGCCAAGAAAGCTCCAGGAGGCCGCCAGACAGTCCAAGAGGGCACAGACTCACCCGAAGTTCGCTCCAAGACGCCCAAGATGGCCTCCACACTGCCCTGACCGCCTCCCCAGGACGCCCAAAGAGGCTACCAAGAACATTCCCTGAAGGGCCCCAAGGGGCGCTACAGGGCCTCAGGTGGCAAACATTATTGAACGTCCTTAGGTCCTGCATTACATGACATTGCATCACATCACATTACATTACATTGCGCCACCTTAAACTACATTTTATTACATGCACACATAGAAGCAACATGTGTGTACGTACAATCAAAAACCCTAATAAGGACGCGCGGTAAGGACGCAAGACCCTTGGAAGCCGAAGTTGGGATTTTTGGGGCGGCGGACGGCGACAACCCCAAGGACGAAAGGGCACCCTGACTTACCAAGGAAGAACAAGGACGCAAGGGTACCCTGAGCAAAGTCGCGCGTCCTTATTCGGTGTTTGACTGTACAGACATACATACGTGCATGCATGCATACGTACATACATACATGCATGCATGCATGCATGCATACATAAACACCACCATACATACTCACATACATACATACATACATACATACAGACAGACAGACAGACAGACAGACAGACAGACAGACAGACAGACAGACAGACAGACAGGCAGGCAGACAGACAGACAGACAGACAGACCGACACCCACCCACACATATACACATCGACATGCAAACACACATATTCATATACATGCATGCATGCTCACATGCATGGACGCATAGAGAGATAGAGACAGACAAACATACTGGTAGACACAACGAACGACATACATATACACATACATACATACATACTCATGGTTCGGCCACATCGGCGCTTCCAAAACGGCAGCCGTAGGCCTCTTCGATCCGCCGCCCCCTGTCGATTCATCGCAGGGTGCCTGGCGTGCCAAACTATTTCGGTTTTTTTTTTTTCCAAAAGAACTCCCCCTTGGGCTTCGGCCCGTCCCGCCAGGGTCCCGGAAGGCCGCGTAAACCACCTCAGCGTCCACAAAAAAACCGCCAAGACGGCTCAACACGGCCTTCAAGATGGCCACGTTAACCCAAGATGGCCTCCAAGATGGTCCAAGATGGGCTGCAAGTTCGCCCAAGATGGTCCAAGACGGCCTCCAAGACGGCCCACGAGACTCCAAGATACCTCCAAGTTCGCCCAAGAAGCGTTCAAGACGGCCCAACACGACCCAAAAAGCCTCCAAGAGGTCCTCCAGGAGGACCCCAAGAGTCCCAAATCATTGATTTTCCTTGGGTTTGAAGGATTTGGGCATTTGCCTCTTGTCGGCATTCCGACGGCTCAAGACGGCCCAAGAGGCCGCCAAGATCGCCCCAAGATCGCCCACGAGGCCTCCAAGAGGGCCCCATGACGGCCCAAGAGGCCTCCAAGACGGCCCAAGAGACCTCCAAGACGCCCAAGATGGCCTCCAAGACGGCCCCGAAGGGCACCAAGAAGACCCCAAGTCGGTTCAGAGAGGCCCCCAAGACGGCTCCCGACGGCGTCAGACGGGCCAGGAGCCCACCAAGATGGCCGAAGCTGGCTCGAAGCTGGCCCAAGACGGCCCAAGACCCCTCCAAGACGTCCTCCAGGACAGCCAGGAAAAATGCCAAAAACAGTGATTTTCCATAGGTTTTTGAAGGACTTTGACTCTTGCTTCTTTTCGGCCTTCCAACGGACCGAGACGGCTCAAGAGCCCCCAAAGATCGCTCAAAGATCGCTCAAGAGGCATCCAAGATGGCCCCAGAACGGCCCAAGAGGGCCCCAAGACGGCCCCAAGAGGCCCCCAAGACGGCCCAAGAGGCCCCAAGAGGCCCCCAAGATAGCCTCCAGGACGGCCCTGGAGCATTCCAAGAGGGCCCAAGTCGGCTCAGAGAGGCTCCCCAAACGGCTTCCGACGGCGTCGGACGGGCCAGGGGCCCACCAAGACGGCCGAAGATGGCACTAAGATGGCCCAAGACGGCCCAAGCGGCCTCCAAAAGGGCCCCCGTGAAATCCGGAAAGGCCAACATCATTGATTTCCATGAGTTCTTGAAGGATTGTGGCATTTATTTTTGTTCGGCCTTCCGACGGCCCGAGACGGCCCAAGTGCCCCCAAAGATCGCCCAAGAGGCCCAAGACGGCCCCAAGAGGCCTCCAAGACGCTCAAGATGGCCTCCAAGACGGCCCACGAGACCTCCAAGACGTCCTCCAAGAAAGGCCGAAAGGGTCAAAATGGCCTCCAGACGGCCAAGATGACCTTCAAGATGCCCACGTGTTCCCCGAAGGCTTTCCAAACCGATTCAGGGAACATCAGGTCCGATACCTTGGCAGGTCTGGCCTCAGCGTTCGGCCACATAGGCGCTTCCAAAAAGGTAGGGGGCGGCGGTGATTCGCCGTAGGCGTCTTAGATCCGCCGCCCACTGTTGGCTTGCCACAAGAGTGCTCGGCGTGCTAGATCCTTTCGGTTTTGTTTTTGGCATTTTTTTGCCCAAAGAACTCCTCCTGGGGCTTCGGCCGATCCCGCCGGGGTCCCGGAAGGGCGCGCAACAGGTGGTTGCAAAGCGTTGTTCGGCTCCAGACGGCTCCAAGATGGCCTCCAAGATGGCCCAGATGGCCCAAGATGGCCTCCAAATTCGCCCAAGATGGCTCCAAATTCAAACAAGAAAAACCTAAGACGGCCCAAGACGGCCCCAGAGGCCTCCAAGAGGCCTCCAAGACGGCCCAAGAGGTCACGAAGAGGTCCTCCAGGGTCCTCAAGGACGGCCCGAAGAGGTCGAAATCATTGATTTCTCCAGGTTTTTGAAGGATTTTGGCTTTTGTTCCTTATTGGCCTTCCGACGGTCTGAGACGGCCCAAGAGGCCATCAAGATCGCCCCAGGAGTGTCCAAGAAGCCTCCAAGACGGCCCCAGGACGGCCCAAGAGACCCCCAATACTGCCCAGAGTAGGCCCCACGACGGCCCAAGAGGCCCCCAGGCAGCCCCAGATGGCCTCCAAGACTGACAAGTTGGCCTCCAAGATACCTCCAAGACGGCCAAGATGGCCTCCAAGACGGCCAAAATTGCCCCAAGATGCACCCAAGACGGCCGAAGACGGCCTCAAGATGGCCTAAGACTGCCCGAAAGCCTTGCAAGAGGCCTCCAAGACGGCCCAAGAGCCCTCCAAGACGTCCTCCAGGAAGCCAGACAGGGTGAAATGTATGGATTTTCGTCTGGTTGTTGAAGGATTTCGGCTTTTGCCGCTTTCCAGTTCTCCGACGGCCCAAGACTGCCCAAGTGGCCCCCAACATCGACCCCAGAGCGCCCAAGAGGCCTCCAAGGTGGCCCCAGGACGGCCCACGAGACCCCCAAGACGGCCCCAAGGAGGCCCCAGGACGGCCCAAGAGGCCCCCAGGACGCCCAAGGTGGCCTCCGAGACGGCCAAGATGGCCTCCAAGATGCCTCCAAGACTGCCAGGAAGGCCCCCAAGACAGCGAGGATAGCCCCAAGATGCCCCAAAGACGGCCCCAGATGGCCTCAAGACGGTGTAAGACTGCCCAAAAGGCTCGCCAGAGGCCTCCAAGACGGCCCAAGACCCCTCCAAGACGTCCTCCAGGAGGCCCAAAAGCTCGGAAGCCACCTGGTCCGATAGCTCGCCCGACTCGGTGTTCCCCGAAGGCTTTCGAAACCCACTCGGGGAACGCGTGGCCCGATAGCTTGGCCAAACTCAAACTCAACTTTCGGCCACCCAGGCGTTTCCAAAAAAGGCAGGAGGGCGGCGGTGATTCGCCGTAGGAGTCTTCGATACCAATATGTCTGCTTGTCCTGGAGATCCCGTCGCCACGGCTGGAGAAGTTTAGATATGATGGTCCGAACGCACCCCAGGAGCGGTCCGGGGAGAAGCGGCATCGGCAACTTTGGGACATCCCATCTCCTGTGGCCATCTCGGCGACGCCCCCCTCGTGGAGCACAATGCCGCCCATGACCTGCGAGTCGAAGTGCCGGAGGCCCAGCACCCTCCTTGGGGGACGAAATGGCACATCGGCGATACATTGCCAATGGATCGGCGACAGGCCCCCCGATAGCGGAGCCGCACGATCCTGGGCGGAGCAGGCTGTCGGGCCCGCGTCGGCGATCAGTGAGCGACCGGGGGTCGATGCAGCCCCCACTGCGCCCATTCCCCCCTGACAAGACACGATCTTTCCCGCACGCTTGGGGCTCATGCTTGCATGCTCCGCATGTGTAGTTCGAAATGGTCTGTGCTGCCTATGCGCCGTTTGGGCGCCTGGCTGCCCTGCCTGCTTGCTACAGGTCCCCTGGGCGTCCACCCCGCGGGTTGGATGGTGGGTCAGGCGCTGGCCCAAGCAGTCCGCGCGGGCCCCCAAACTCGGATGCCGTGGGTAGGACGAGGGGGAGAAGGGAGGATGGGGAGGTCGCCCTCCTCCTCCTGCCCCCCCCCCTCCTCCTCGTCCTCCTCCTCC